ACAGAGGCTGCAGTGTGGGGCGGCAGCAGCCCTGGTTGGGGGGGGAGCCTGAGCTCCCCACGGACATAGCCTGTGCTGGTCTCCCATGCAGCAGCCTCTGTCTGTGGTGAGCCCGGGACCACTGCAGATAGAGGTTGCTCCACAGCAGCAGCCCCTGTCCGCAGTAGGCCTGAGCTCCCCATGGACAAAGTCTATGCTGGCATCCCACCTGCTTCTCCTCCCCCTTCCCCTCCGCCCCACCCCGGCCTACACTGCTGCCTCTGATACAGAAGCAGCAGCATGGGGGGAGGGGACAGGTGGCTCAGCAGAACCGGTGCTTGGGGGGAGGCTAGTTTAAGCTAGCTCCCCTGAGCACTAGTCTTCTGCCTGCTTCCTGCATAACTGCCTATCAGAGGTGTGGGAGAGAACCATGGGAACCAGGAACTGGCAGCGCAGGGATCTTAAAAGCCAGCTTCTCCCTTTGCTACCTCTGATAGAGAGGCAGCAGGGGGGGACGTGGTGCTGTGTAGTTGTCTGTATTTACTGATAAGCCCAGGTTTATAATTGTTTAAACAGCTATACACAAATATCCGTATGGCTAGGGGAGTTTGTAATTTTTAGTCTTGAAACCTTGAACTGAAATAGTATCTAAAAAGCAAAAGCTAGTATTGTGATGAATTTTATATACCCAAATAAGCCTCAAACTTCCTTGAATATCTAAATAAATAGAGCAAGAGTCCCCATTTTCCAAAGGATATTTAAAAGATCAAAAACATATCAAAATATTGCTGAAAACTACTGATTTCATGGTAATTTTTGTTCTTGTAATTCACAACACACATTCCCAAACAAAAACTCAAGGTGGTTAGGATGAGTCCCTAAATTCAGAAGTAACAGGCTTACAAAAGTTATATTGGAAATATTAGGACAATTTGAAAAGATTTCCAGTTCTTACTGGTTTTGGCCAGATTGAGATACCAGAACAATTTTTACTCTGGCATCTCAGTTGGATCCACCTCCACTTGAAATGGAGGACAGTTTCTACAGGAAACACAAGTATGTGGAGAGGGTACAATGAAGAAGAGCGTGAAGTTGATTTACTGATGAGATTTCAAATATTAAAAAATAGTTACTGCCTGGGAACTGGTCATCCTTGAAACTATCTGTTGCTCCAGTATTACACAGGAAATTATGAGTAAGCAGAAATGAAAAGATAAGCATGATAAAGAAACCAAATACTGTTTTTGGTGTTTATTATTAGGATTGGTAGTCTAAACAGTAAAAATGTTAAGGATCTCCTATAACTGGATCAAAAGGTATTGAAAGTAGCTCCTAAGGAGAGGACATTAGTTTCAAAGGTTTTATCTCAATGGGCAGTATCAGTCTAGTTGGTATTATTGAAATTGGTATAGGTGAGAAGAGACAGAAGAAGAGTTACATGAGGGCAATGTTAAAACTTAAGCCACTGGCGGAAGAAGGGGAGAGAACGGACAGTGTCATAAATGGCATGTGCTGAGTCACTGGTAACTCTGAAGGGAATGATCTTGAATGCTTATTGATCAATGTTCTAACAGACAAAGCACATGATAGGGTCTTAGCTGGTATCTGGTATAGATTAGGGTGACTGGCTCTCTCTTTAAGCACCTATCTATAAAATGTAGGAAAATAAGCTGTGTTATATCACGGGGGACTTCAAGCTGAGTGATACGTGCTTAAGGTCTCATGCTGCCCACACAAACACACGCAGAATTTCGAGGTATTATATATGGTAGTTTCCTAATAAGAATGTACTGAGTCCAACATGGGAGAATCCTGTATTACGTCTCATTTTGAGGGATAAAGAAAGGACTGTTCACAGCTAAAAATGTATGGTGGCTTAGGGATAAGCAATCATGACTTGATCATACTTGTTTATGTACACCCAGAATAAAATAGAGTACTACATTTAATTAGTGTTTTAAAATGGCCAAAGTCTCAAAGCTTAAAACAATTATGAAACAAATTAGTTGACACAACAAAAATGTATATGGTAACAAGCAAATAATAACTGGGAACCGTTTAAGAACATTTACTACATACTCAAAAATAGCTATCAATAGCAGGAAGAAAAAGGATGGCTGCTCCTCTAAAACCTGAGGAAGTTTCAAGAAGGAAGTTTAAAACCTGCCTGGTTTACAAAGTGAAAGCAAATTTTCATGCAAATCCCCATTAGCTCCCACAGAAGAAAGGGGAAATCAGTAGTAATTAACATAAATCAGAAATTAGGAATTGTAGAAAATAAATAATATCAATCTACGGCCAGCAGAGTTAAAGAAAATAAGGACTATTTCAAATACATTAGGAATAAAAAAAATTCTAACAATAACATTGGCCAGTTAGTAAGATGAAAATGGCAGAATTGTCCATAATGCAAAGTAGTAGAACTGTGCAATAAGTATTTCTGTTCTGTATTTGGGAAAGAGCCAGATGATGTAGTTATATTACTTTCCATTTCGCTAGTAACTTAGAAGGACATTAAGCAGTAGCTATAAAAGCTAGACATTTTTAATTCAGCAGGTGCAGGTACCTACATCCAAGATTTCTGATGTGCTAGCTTAGGGACTGATGCTGTAGACTTTCAGTAAGTCTTGGCGTACGAGGGAAGTTCTAAAGTATTAGAAGAAATCTTATGTGCCAAAATTTAAAAAGAGTAAATGTCAGTCTGTCGTCAGTCTTGGGATAATGGAACTCTTAATGTGGGTCCTGATTAATAAAAGAGTTAATGAAAGGAAATTAACTGGGGAAATGCAGTTAAGCTGTCCAAAGGAAGCTTGGGGATACCACCACATACCTGTTTGCTCTTTTTCTTTTTCCATTTTCTTGTTTTGTCCTTTCTTCCACTGTTCTTTAGTTTTATTTGCTTCTTCATGCTGTTTTTGCTCAGCGAGTGATTTATTCAGCACTTGTGAGAGGACAGAATCTCCTTCCCCAACCAGAAACATGGTCTTGAACTTGTTGTACAGCATAGTGGATTTCTCCATGATAACCTGGCTAACTTTGAACTTCCGTATCTGAAGATACACATGTGAGAGATTAACATACTTGTACATAGTCTATGTTTTTTTTTTTTTAAACAGATATCTGCTCCCCTTTCACATTAAACAAAGTGCTATTATGGCGCTTAATCTGCTAACTATATTCAGAGTTCTAAAGAAAGAAAACAGCAACTTTCATAAGGTCCAATGAATTAAAACAGCTTAAATGATAACTCAAGAACAGCTAGTACATTATACTGTTAGGCTAAAGATGTATATTATACTGTTTAGGAAGAAGTTTCAAATCTTACTTTCTTTAGCGTCAAGATCATCTCTGTGTGCTTCTGAGCTTGTTGCATTGTGACCTGAAGTGAAGAAAGCTCATCTAGAGCCTCAATACATCTATTCACATCCTGTTAAACAAGAAGCCAGTTTCAAATCTCAACTTGAACTCATCTTTAACTTTTTTTGTCTGAAGCAGTAATATCAGAAATCAAGATTATAAGCAATACTAGAATATAAATACACACACACACACACACACACACACACACACACACACACACACACACACACAGAGCTTTTTTCATGATGGTACGGCCCAGAACGGCGTAGTCACTTATTTTCCCAGCCCACAGAAAAGGAATGGGATTTCCCCCACGTGTACCAGCACCTGTTTTCCTGGGGCGGCTTGGGTTGGCTCCTGACGAAAGCCTGCTTGGGACGCGCGGCATGTTTTTTTTTTTCAGCTCCCAGCGCAGTGCTCTGGCTCTTAAAGGGGCTGAGACAGCATTTCAGCCCCCAGCGAAGTTTGTTTTTTTGGCTCAACAAGTTTGCCGCAGAGTACCAGCACCATTTTTTTAAAACAAAAAAAGCAGTGTGTGTATACACACATACCATTAGTTAAGTCTTGATTATTAAAATCTATTAGGGATACAGATTAGTTTTGGAGGGTGTCGCTCTCTTCTGTACTGAAGCCATTCCATTATGAATGACTTAAATCAGTGTTTCTTAAACTCTGTTCCTTGGCACACCGGTGTTCCGTGAGGCAGTCGGAGGTGTGCCACAGAGAACAGAATAAAAAATGGCTGCCCTTAAAGGGGCAGGTGGTTTTTCCCTCTAACTTCCCCCCCAACAAAAAAAATCCTTGGTGTTCCTTATAAAAAAAAATTGTTTGTTCTTTCGTCTTAAAAAGTTTAAGAAACACTGACTTACATATTCATTGGAGTAGAGATGTTAAATCTAGTTTAATCAACTAATCGATGGATTTTCCTGGCTCCCATATCAGGTATCTGTGGCAGACACACAGCTCCTGCCCTGGGGATTGGGGTTCAGCTCCCCCTCCCCAAGATGGAAGGACACTACTAACCTAGGATGGAGCCAGAAGCCAGCTGCACAGCACCAGACAACCCAGCTGCAGCCACATGGTCGTTGCTGGCAGGCGGCAAGAGTCTGGTATGTGCTGGGCTCAGCCAGGGAGAAGGACTCCCTGCTGCGCTTCATGTGCCGGGCTCTCCCTGCACCCACCAAGTCAGGGCTGGGCTGAGAGCTTCAGCAAGAGAGCCAGGCCTCCAGGTTACCCTCCCCGCTGGGACAGCAGGGTCAGCTCCCAGCCCTGGGAGTTAATACATTTAAAAGGCAGAGCCACAGCAGGGTTAAGAGTTGGCAGGCTCTTAATACATTTAAAAAGCTGAAGCACAGCAGGGGGGACCTGGCGCAACTGGGACAGCCGATTCCCAGTTCATGCTGGGTCCCCCCCCCCCGCTGCGCCTCAGCTTTAAATATCAAAAGGCTGGAGCACAGCAGGGGACCTGGAGTGAGCCAGGAATCAGCTGTGGCTGCTTGTGCCAGGTCCTGCCCCCGCTGCGCTTCTGATTTAAGTGTATTAAGAACCGACAGGCTCTTAATACATTTAAAAAGCAGAGGTGCAGCACCTGGGACTGGGCAGGAGCCAGGAATCAGCTGATTCCTGGCTCATGCTCGGTCCCCACTAATTCCGTGCCCCCCACGGAGACAGTGCTGGGGGGAGCCAGCTTTTAAGCCTGCTTCCCCCAGCACCAGCTCCTGCTCCCTACCCTTGCTGCCTCTGATAGAGCCATCGGGGGGAGTGAAAGGGGGGAAGAGAAGTGACTGAGGGACTAGTCGACTAGTCAATGAGCTTTTGAGGATAGTTAACTAGTTGCTTACAGCCCTACATTGCCTTTTGAGGATAGTTAACTAGTTGCTTACATCCCTACATTGGAGCAAGAGAGGGAGGAAAAGAAGAAAAAGAATGACTTTATAGCCTGGCGGTTAGGGTACTCGCATTTAAGGAGGAACACTCGTCCATGTTTCTGATCTAATAAACTATACTATCAAATAGTTTTAATATGATAGATTAAAAAAAGCTATACTAGAATAGCCCATGGGCTCAGGCACTCTCCTGATACATAGGTGACCACCACATTCTCTAGCCATTTTGTGACCAGCACCTAAGTTCCTCTCAGACACAGTATGCCAAAAGTATTCAGAAATTCACATCAAATTTGCTAATAGTTTGGGGTCAGCTAAAACTGTATTTTTTGGCAAATAATCTATTTATCAAAACTACTGTCTAGCTCTATATGTGAGGAAAAAAATTAGGACTATGGTCTCTGTACAATGCACTATATTTCCCCATATTTGCTTAACAATAAACATGATCAGTTAAAATATTCTTCTTATTCTGCAATCAGCTTCCTTTGCCCCGATGAGCACACTGCCACAAAAAATAAGGTAAGAAATAAGCCAGTTCATGTTTAACTCATTAATAAAAAAAAGTCACTGAAGATGTTGAGTCTTTTTACTGATTTAGCATCTAGTCAATGATCTGCAAAATAAACTGAAGATTTAAACTGGAAATATTTTTATAAACCTAGCATCAGTGAATTATTAATTCTCAACTGCAATTAAAAATAGTTACCTTCTTGTAACAGTCGTTCTTTGAGATTTGTTACATCTTTTGAGACGTAGGGGTTTGGAACGGGTCCCATATGAGGAGAGGTTAAAGCGACTGGGACTTTTCAGTTTAGAAAAGAGGAGACTGAGGGGGGATATGATAGAGGTCTATAAAATCATGAGTGGTGTGGAGAGGGCTGATAAAGAAAAGTTATTTATTAGTTTCCTAAATAGAAGAACTAGAGGACACCAAATGAAATTAATGGGCAGCAGGTTTAAAATTAATAAAAGAAAGTTCTTCACACAGCGTGTAGTCAATCTGTGGAACTCCTTGCCAGAGGAGGCTGTGAAGGCTAGGACTATAACAGAGTTTAAAGAGAAGCTAGATTATTTCATGGAGGTTAGGTCCATAAAAGGCTATTAGCCAGGGGATAAAATGGTGTCCTTGGCCTCTGTCAGAGGCTGGAGAGAGATGGCAGGAGACAAATCGCTTGATCATTGTCTTCGGTCTACCCTCTCTGGGGCACCTGGTGCTGGCCACTGTCGGCAGACAGGATACTGGGCTAGAAGGACCTTTGGTCTGACCCAGTACGGCCATTCTTATGTTCTTATATGTCCATAACAACTATAGATTGTGTGTGTGTCCAGCATACTTGTGCTGAAGAGTTTTCCTAATGGCATCATGGGTACAGCTCAGCCCATCTCTTGGCTTCTCCTGAACAGAATGAGGGTACAGCTGCTCACACTGACTTGTGGAGTGTGCCTGTCCTACGCACCGGAAGAACTGCCAGTGGCTGTCCAAAACTGGTATGGAAAGCCTGCAGGACAGGCAGCATTTGAAACCTCGGGAATCATGCATCCCATGAAAAACCAACGGCCAGAGGGAAAAAGGCCCAAAACTAAGCAAGGAAGAGTTTTAAAAAACTAACTAGAACAAACTTAACACTATAACTAACAACTAAAAATAGCTACAACAACACAGTCTCATCTAACAAATTACAGTTAGCTGCGCATGCAGAGTAGCCACACAGACGCTTGCTGGCTGCTCTTTGTGTGCAGCTCACCGAGGGCACTGCTACCTACTCGAGGTGCAGCAGTGCCTCTGACTCCTAAGGTGGAGCACCCACAGGGACACTCCTGGAGGAAGCAGCGAGGAGAAAAGGAAACACCCCACATATTCTGTCACCAGCTCAGAGATGACAAAACCCCTTTCCAGATGCAAACACACTTGTCCAAGTGATGAATGTATGTGAAATATACTGATCTGAGAGCCATGCAAGTAGCATTTTGAGGTGCAGCTGGTGAGAGGAATCATACTGGATATGTCTACATTGCAATTAAAAACTTGCAGTGGGTCCATATCAGCTGGCTCAGACTAAGTGGCTGTTAAATTGCAATGTCGATGTTTAGGCTGAGAGAAGTTTTCCCATAATCTTCTGTCAGTTGTTTAGCAAATACTGTATCTTCCTGTTAGAATACTTGCATCTTGACAGCAGTGGCTGGAGATTGGCAATATGGGGTTGTAAATTCACCACAGGATAAATCTTTCTACCAAAAAGGCCAAGATTATTGGCATCACTTTCTTTAGCAGAAGTTTTAGCCCAGCCTTGATGACTCCTTTCGTTCACCACAACCACTACTCGTGAGTTTAGGATTTAAATAAAACTGCTCAAATGGCTGTGACAGAACCTGATATTTATGTTCCATTCATTTGCCCAGAGGTGGGATGGAAGAAGGTATCTGTTACAGAGCTGTGTAACTATCATTTACAGGGAGGCATACCTTTCACACCATGGTGAGATGTAAAATGTCAGTCAGCTTGTGGATGTTTTCCTTCACTAGCCCCGTCCTGAATGCCAAAAGAAACTGCCATTCTGCTCAAGTGATTTCAGACCTATGTCATGTATGCAATGCTGGAAACAGCATGGATGGCTTCCTAGCCATGGTAACATGAACCATAGAGGAACTGGTACTAGAACTGATGAGGCTCAAGTGATTAGTATCTGTCTTGCAGCCAATGGTCAAAGAGAGTTCTGGTGCAGATATTTTCATGTGCACTCACAGCAGCTGACAATACTCAAGCTAAAGTAATCGCAACAGTGGTGATGACAAACATAGTCCATTCCTTTTTGTCATAAGCCTCAGGCATCATTGGTACTGACGTGGGTGGTTATCCTACTGTGATGACTGATCTGTTGCCAAAGGAACACATTTCAATGGCCCAGAGAGGACACCAGAGTCAATGGCTCAGGACCCACTATATAATCCAATACCAGAGAAGAGAGTCAGTACTCAACCATCGGTACTGGACCAACCTTCTCTGAAGGAATTCCAATCTTTGAAGAACCTGATGCCATCTTATTTTTGTTTCTGAGATGGAAGACAAGTCCTGGTGATGGGGACCTTATGTGGCTCTTATGTATAGATGGAGCTAGGGGAGTGCTCTGGAAAGGAGTTGTGAAAAAACTTCTCTTGGATGATCTAGGTGGATTTTGATTGCAGTTTAAGTATCACTTCTATCAGGAGGTAACAAAGGCACTCTTTCTTCAGCATTTTCATTCTGGTTTCCAAATTGCAACAAATGGATCACCTGTCTCTCAAGTGGACTTTGCCTAAGCACCTGATGCAGCATTAATGAGGATCTCAGGCAGTCATGGGCTTCCAACAACTTGAGCAAAGTCTGTAGACACCCAACCCCAGTAGCAATATTAGCTTAAATGTTTGTTATGGTTTCTACCCCCTTCCCCAATCTGTTTTATGATTTTTGAACTTGAAAGTTAGTGGACAGTAGGATTTAAACATTCCCTTGCATTCTTGTGCAAACCAAATTTCATAGCATTATCATGTCCAAATTTCAGTGTGCACCAGTTCCAGAAAGTAGACTAGAACTCGACAGATTATTCAAGTGCATATTTTAAGAATTTACATACAATGATGAAAAGTTAGAATTTTGGAATACAGTTTGAAAGTATTAATCTTAGCATACCTTTAAATGCAAACAAATTTTCAGAGCATTCCAAAACATTGTACATATACACCTGTTAACACAATATACTTACAAGATTGTCAATTTTGAGTGAATTTTTAATTTCTGCATGTATCCTTTGAAGCCGAGAATCCATTGATGTTTCTAAAGATTAAAAATAATTATATTTGAATGCTGTAGTGAATAAATTTAAGAAATCTTAATGCAGAATAAGATTTCTATAAACCAGGAGTTGCTGACTGAAGAAAAATGTATGGATAAGCAGACATATCAGCTAACCAGAAAGTACTCATAATAGCTAACCATAAAGCATTGCCAGTAGATCTAGAGAAGTGATTATTCCCCTTTATTCGGCTCTGGTGAGGCCACATCTGGAGTATTGCGTCCAGTTCTGGGCCTCCCACTATAGAAAGGATGTGGACGCATTGTAGAGGGTCCAGCAGAGGGCAACCAAAATAATTAGGGGGCTGGAATACATGACCCTTGAGGAGAGGCTGAGGGATTTAGGTTTGTTTAGTCTGCAGGAAAGAAGAGTGAGGGGGGATTTGATAGCACCTTCAACTTCCTGAAGGGAGGTTCCAAAGAGGATGGAGAAAGGCTGTTCTCAGTAGTGACAGATGGCAGAACAAGGAGCAATGGTCTCCAATTACAGTGGGGGATGTTTAGGTTGGATATTAAGAAAAATTATTTCACTAGGAGGGTGGTGAAACACTAGAATGCGTTACCTAGGGAGGTGGTGGAATCTCCATCCCTAGAGGTTTTTAAGTCTCGGCTTGACAAACCTCTGGCTGGGTTGATTTAGTTGGGGTTGGTCCTGCTTTGCGCAGGGGGCTGCACTTGATGACCTCCTGAAGTCTCTTCCAGCTCTATGATACTCTATATTAATCACAGCCATTATAGCGTGTAATGTATTACGACAATTATTTTAAAAAATGGACAATATTTGGTAAACTACGCAATGTCCTCTGCAGCAGCAAAGGCTACACATTACAATAAAGTCCAGTTGTCAATTTGGAAATGCAATATGATTGTTAAACGGAGGAAAATAGTTTAGATCATGAGCAAGAGTAATTGAAACAGCCTTTAGATAAGGAGCCTAGGACCCAACAGAATGGAGTAAAGTAGGTATCTTGCAAGTGGAAGTGTGTCTAAAAACTTAGGAGTAACCTGTTACTTAATAGTTCAAATAAGATGGTTGGCAAGCAGTCAATGCATGTCCTTTGTTATGATGAATTTATTGATAGAGTAAAAAAAAAAAGGGTGATTGTTTGACTATTCATACGCACTGAACTATAATCTGTACTTTTATTGGTTAATAAATGGCTTTTTGGATAGAATACAGACAAATGGAATATTTGTTCTTTTCTAGGATTCCCAACTCTCCTCAATTCATTGATTACAAGGCCAGAAGGAGCTATTGTGATCATCTGGTCTGATGTTCTGTACATCACAGGCCATGGAACTTGCAAAAAATAATTTCTTGATCATCGATTTTAGAAAAATAACTAACTGTGATATAAAAAATTGCTAGTGATAGAGAATCCAATACTACCGTTGGCAAGCTGTTACAACAGTTTGTTGTTATCCTTATTCATTAAAAATTTATACTTTATTTCTATTCTATATTATCTTTCCTCAACTTCCTGACTGGACTCATGCTATACCTTTCTCTGCTAAATTGAAAATCCCATTATTAAATATTTGTTCCCCATGTAAGTATTTATAGACTAATCAAGGTATCCCTTTAACCTTCTCTTTGTTAAGCTAAATAGAGTGAGCTCTTTGAGTCTATCACTGTAAGGTATGTTTTCTAATCCTTCAATCATCCTTGTAGTTCTTTTCTGTCCAATTTATCAACATCTTTCTAAATTGCGGACCCCACAACTTGATCTACTGTTCCAATATCAGTCACACCAGTGCCAAACACAGAAATAAAATAACCTTTCTACTTCTACTTGAGAGTCCCCTGATTATGTATGCAAAAGTTGAATTATATTAGACTGTCTGGCCACAGCACTGATTTTGAGCTAATGGTCAGCAGATTATCTACTATGACCCCCAAATCTCTCTCGCAGTCACTGTTGCCCAGGAGAGGCACTGGACCTAAGTGACTCGGGAGCCTAAGTTCAACTGAAAGTTGATGAGACCAGGGTGCCGATGTGATTTTTGAATATGGGACATAGGTGTTTGGGAAAATTTTACCCTTGGCAAAATATATATATATATATATAAATAAACACATGCATACATATACACACATCTTAAAACAGTTTCCTATAAAATACTGGAGGAATCTCAGATTTGTCTTAGTCTCTGCAGCTTCACCACACTCAACCGAATACCTGCTAAGTAGTCTTGAAAAGCCTATGTTAGTTTTGTTAAAAACAAAACTTTAAACAGTAAAACCTCATTCATCTGTATTAAGGATCATGATGGGGCTATTGTAGAAGCATCCGAAGACTTTTCATGGGAGTAGAAGTAGAGCGGACCAATTCCAGAAAGGAAATAAAGCAACTGGGATTCCCTTATGGATTCTGAGCTTTTCTCCAATCTTAAATCAGGATATGGCAAATATTAAGAAATTTTAATAAGGTGGTGGTGGGGGGAGAGATATTGACTGCCCCTCAAAATTCCCCCCCTTTTTTTTGTAAGGACAGTCAACTCTAATGATATACCCTTGCAAAGATGTCCGTAGAGTAATCTGGCTTAGTGCGCAAGGATGTGGAGGTTCCAGTAAGCTATGCAGAGCCTGAGTCCTTCCCTTGGCAGAACAGGTCTGAATAGTTGTGATAGGGCTCCTGAGAGTCTTAAAGACTGAAACACCTCTTCAACTGCTCTCTTCTGATGGGGCAGAAGAGAAAAAACAATAGAGCACTGTAACTTCGTGAGTAGCCATGTTCAAGGTGCAGAAAATCAGAAATTTTTCCTGAGAGATGGAGAAAGATATTGCTTCTTGTTATCCAAATGAACAGCTTTAAAAATGGGATGACAGTGGATAAACTGGGAGTACTGGAGATTGATTTTGTTTGCATTGCTGAAGGCAAAGAAGCACATGGGAGGTTAAAAAGGGGGGAAGAGGGAACAAAAACGCACAGTTTAAAGTACTTGCAAGAAGCAGAATTGCAGCCCAAATATCTTGTATAGTTTTGATCCAGAAACCCCCCACTAGTGAAGTTTCAGTTTATAGATTTATTTAAAAATAAAGAGGTTAAAATATTCTGCATAGCTTCTTTACACTAACCTCGCTTCTTCTCCATCTTCTTGACTTCTGGTTTCTTGTTTTCCTCTTTACTCTGCCTATTAAAAATGTTAAACATTTTACAACATGTTTGTCTTCTTTTAAAGTCTGTAATTGCAACATATTTTAAAATGAGATGAGATTTCATGACTAAAGCAGTAACTCAGAACATTAGCAGAAGAAAAGGACAATGAAGTAGATTATGATTAATTTAATTACAACAGCAAGGATAACAGAATCTTCCAATTAACAAGTCACTTTCAATAGAAATTGGCATTTACACATAGCAAGTGATTAAAGGAAGGGTAAACAAATTAATCAAATCACAAGGAACGATACAGATTTATAAATTTTATTCTCTGCTTTTGTCACATGTGCAAGTTAAAAGAAAAATGCACTGCATGAAAAATTCACACAACAGAATATTGTATAACTTAAGAACACTTTAATGGCTCACATCAGACTTTGAAAGGGACCCTTGGTTCTACCTTAGCTATGCAGTGTAGTGGAAGTATGTGCGGGGGCATGCTAATACTTTATTATATGGCAATTTTGTTTCCAAAAAGCACATACAAACCCTGCCTCCCACCCCCTAACAGTCAGCAGTTGAAAAGGGGGGAAAAATTGATAAAACTCAAGTGCCCTAATACAAATAGCAACATTTTGTATTAATCACTTTGAAACACCTTAATAAGCATAGAATTGTCAATAAGTGAAGTGTTTTACCCCCTTCACAGTATTTTTATAAAACTCATGGCTCTTTTCCTTAGGATGAGGGAAAATAGTACAATAAAACTGTTATTTGGCACTAATTTAAGCAGAAAGATCAATTAATTGGCATTTCTGATCTCTCAATACAAATCTTTAATCTAGTAACCAGGACTATTATACTGCCCAGCATGTTATGCAACTCTAAAGAGGCAGAAGCCAAGTAAGCAAGCCAAAATCAGGGATTTATTCAAAAAAGCAGTCCTAGGCTGTCCTACACCTTCTGGTTCTGCAGTGATAACTGATGAACCTGATGCACTGCAAGATCCTGAAATGCCTTCGGAACCAAAGAAAGATTAAACTATGTTTAGTATAGTTTACACTACACAGCAACATGACTATCTCTTAAAAGTTGGTCAGAGTAAATGCTGTTTGCCAGCACTTTTGGCAACAAAATACTTGCACCTCCTACCACTGGGATTTGTGTTGTTAACAGGAGAATGTTCCTAATGACCAATCGCTTACATTGCCACTTACTGCAAAACATGTGTCTTTCAAGGGGAGGGGGGAAGGGAAATTTAAGGACCTGTGAACAACTGGCAGTGTAAATCGAACACTGAGGGCGTCTCCGTCAACCCAGTACTCTTCACAGTCATGAGGAGTAAGGGAAGTCAATGGTTGCATTTCTCCCGTTGACCTCCTGCTGTAATGCTGCCCCAGAAAAATGATACAAAGTATGGAATCAGCCGCTGATCTGTTTCAGCAGTGGCTGAATCGGGGACCCCTGGGGCAGAGCAGCTGGGGTCCTGCTGGGTTGGTCCCGCAGCACCGTCCTTTGGCGCTGCGGGACCAACCTGGCAGCACTCCAGCTGCTCTGCCCCAGGCATCCCCAAGAGCAGCTGGGGGGCTGCCGGGCGGGG